GTATTTAGCTGCTTTCTGTAATTCATCACGTGGAAAATCTATAGCCAGACATGTGTATTCAGATTTTTCTTAATAACATATATGCCAGAATAAACATATATAGCCCACAGACATGATAAAAATTCCTCATGATGGTCTTTCTACATTGGGCTTTATTTTCATGGAGCATCTGCTTTTGTTTTGGAAACACAATCTGTGCATAGTTTTTAGCTCTTCTAAGCTAAAAGGAACTTTTGCTAAAGATGTTCACCCAACTACTCTCTCTACTGATAATACCCTGTTCTTTTAATTGCATAAGTGTGTCCTTGTTTGTAGTCCATTCTATTCCACTTTACTATAAACCCATGAAGGCAAACACCATACCTCCTATTTACTGTACAAATGTTACCTGAGAAAATGGTAGGGATATTTGGAAAACTGATGATAAAGTAAGAAAACTTTAAAAATTTTAGTAGTATTCAGAAGATATTGATTGGGGACCAGCAGATGGTGTAATGGTTACATCACTAGAGTCCCATGTAGTGGACCACAGTTTAAGTCCTGGACCCGGTGAGTTAAAACTCCTACTGGGCACATGTGCATACATGCCGAAAATCCTGAGAGGAGAATGGAGGAGAAAAGATTTGTGGCGCGACCATCCCCCCAGGGAGTGATTTCTCACTTTCTGTCTCTCTGTCTCTCTCTGGCAAGCATATGCACCTGATAGCAAAACTCTCTAAAAAATAAAAAAGATGATACATCTTCATGTCTACTTCTTTACATGGAAAAATAATTAAGGTTGTTTTGCCTTTTTTTTTTTTTTTTTTTAATTTATCAAAGGGCACATGTACTCACCAGAGGGAGACAGAGAGGCACAGTGAGAAAGGACACCCTCCCCGTGGGGAATGGTCAAATTGCAATTCCTTCTCCTCTATCCCTCCTTTCCTTCAGGACTTTGGGCACCCAAGCACATGCACTTGGCTTGTTTCTCAGGCTGCTGGGCCCAGGACTGGAGCTATGAGGTCGGCCATGTGACATACAGCTGCCTCAGCCACCACACCACAGGCTGGTACTTTTTTTTTGTTTTATTTTGTTTGTTTGTTTGTATTTGTGTGCTAGAGGGCATTTGTGTTTTTCAGAGAGAGAGAAACAGAAAAAAGAAGAGAAAGCTTATGGTCACACTACAATCCCCTCTCCTCCCTTTCTTCGGGATTTTGGGCACGTTTGTGCACACATCTGGCCTGTTTCTTAAGCTTCAAGGTCCACAGAGTCAGTCATGAGGGACCTGGCTGTTACCCACTAGCCCACAGAGTTGGCCCTGTTTGGGTTTTAAATCATTAATATCATTTTAACACTGAGCCTAATTTCTCAGTGAATTATAGTCTTGATTGTAGTTCAACAAACCACATTATATGTATTACGTGTACACATGACATGTATGTACACGAAAATATATGCATTTAATTCAATTACAGCATTTTATTGGTAATTAAAATTAGTACCAATGTAGTATTTGGTGCACTTCTGGTGATCCACAAATACCACAGAAAATTCTTCTTCTTCTTTTCCCCTCTACTTCTCTGTCACTTCTCTATCTTTCAGAAAGTAGGCCAGAAGCAAGAATATCCAGAGGAGATTTTTTAGAGTCAATTTCTCCATCCTTTCAATATTTCCATTTAAGAGAAGAACATAAAAGAGAGAGCAGGCAGGGATATACTGGAGCCCCAAAATTAAAACACATTTACAAACAACATTTTAAAAACCTAAAAAAGTTCTGAAGGAAATATGTAATAATGTTCTTAGTGAAGAAAATTACCCAGGGACTTTTTGAGGGGAAAAAACTTGATTATTTTTTAAAGCTATCTACACTAAAATTGAACTCAGAATAAAAGTGAGATTAGCTGGTTGGGAGCTCATGCACCCTCCTGTAAATTAGATAAGCAGACATGTCTGGAGAGAGCAAGGAATACTTTGATGGTTTTCAACATGACTCGAAAGAGATGAAACAAGACCGTGTAATTTATAAACTATTGCCCTGTTGTTAGAAAATAAAATGTAAACAGTTAAAAAGCTTTTAACATTCTTTACTGTCACCTCGATTGTCTGAGGATCTTCCCTACCCATCATCAGGTTCCTAAAAAAAGTGAAAATAGAAAAATTGTAAGCGTGTTTAATAGCTGAGCTGCAGTTGTGACTTGATTCCAGTTTATTGCTAGACATTCATTTTCAGTTCTGCAAGTTTGAATCTGCCAGGACTGGAATGCTTAAGTGTTAGTTACTGACAATTTCACAGTAATTCTAGGCTAAGCCTGCCTTGGAGCAAATCTTATCAGTAAAAATAAGGTCAAATTTCCTTCCAGTACTTCTGACTTGTCTAGCCAATAATCGCGTCATCTTTTATTTTTTTTTAATTTCTCAAGGAATTTATTAAAGCTTTGAACTCTGAAAAGAAAAAGATGAGAAAAATAAACTTGGCTATAGTGAATTGATGTTGCAAGATTTCTCCTCATTTTCACTTTCTCTTGCTGTCCAAGGTTGAAGCTATTAGATGGAACCGTAAACACAGACATGAGTGATAATTAGACTTTCGATCTAGAAGCAGATTCCTGGACGATACATTGCTGTTGCTTGTCACATCTAATTCTTCTGATTCTCTATTATTGCCCTAAAAGTCCCCTTTTTATTCCTGCCTCTTTTTGCTTCCCTCTTGCCCTCTCTGATCCTTTTTTCTTATTACCAGCTACAGAGAACAAACGTTTATCACGTTATGTCTTTCAAACATGAGGTGTGTATAAGAGAGCATTTTGTGAATCAATACATGGACTCACGTGTATGAATATATATTTAAACCAAATTCCTGGCATGTTTGAATAATCTGCCTGTCAACTTTTAAGCACTAGATTGTATCAGAATCTCCTGAAAGGTAAATTCCGTGTCTTGTAGATCATTTTTACAATAACATTTCATAGTAACTAACAAGTTAGCCTTTAGGAATTCAAGTCCATCCCATACTTTTCCAGCTGTATGACTCTCTGTGGCAAGCTGAGTGGTTTTGAGAGACGAGAAGTTGTTCTGGATAAACATGGTAACAAAAGAGCCCCTTCTACTAACTGTGTGCTGCACATGTACTACTCGTCCCATCCACAGCCCTAGCATGTGGTACCAGAGCTGTGCCTGCACTATGGATCGAGCATAAACAGGAAAACCCAGTCCATCTGTCTTCCTTGAAACCAGAGGTGGGGAGAGGGCAGTACAGAGGCCGTGGGAAATGATTCCAAATGCATGATCCGAGCATAAACAGGAAAACCCAGTCCATCTCTGTCTTCCTTGAAACCAGAGGTGGGGAGAGGGCAGTACAGAGGCCGTGGGAAATGATTCCAAATGCATCTTTTTATCCTTTCCCTGGTTCTTTTGCACCTGTTTTTCTGCTCTGAGATCTCACAGCTCATTTCTGAAACCCTAGGAGTGGATCAGTTTTCATACTGCACATCTGGGCAAGAATAAACTATCAACCTGGGTCTTCTATGGCTGGAGAGAAAAATGGCCTGCCGACCCCGCCCCACCCACCGACATCCGGCCCTTTCAGTCCTTCGTGGTTTGCGTCTTTTCCTTTAAAGCAAAATTTAACTGACCTGCCAACCCTGCCATTCCCAAGCTTTTCTGCAAATGTTATTTTTAAAGAGATTTTAAAAAGCAGAAAGGATCTTGGTGATTTTATTCTGAAAGCTAGAAGAGTTAAGATGCGAGACTTCCAAGGCTGAGCTTCTCTACTTTCAAACTGTAAAATGTGCATAATGGTTTCCACATATGCATATGAGGAAGAAGCAACTGGTTTATTTATATTTTTAATCCGGGCAGGGATGACCAGCCACATTGAGGGCAGTCTGTGAACCGTTTTGTGATGTGACAAAGTAAGAAAACAGACAGAATTGGCCTCTGTGCCTAAATAAGTCGACATCAGTACTTATTTCTTCAGATAGTTGCATTTTTCAAGAAATATTTTGTATACTTTGAGGAAACTATCCAAAAAACACACTGCTATGCAAAACTAGACCTTTTAAAACCAGGTCCAATTCACTTCTTTAGTATAGCCTATGAGCAAACTTAGTAAAATGTGTGATACAACGCATCCGGGATGTTTTTAAATTAATTAACATAAGCATACTTATTACCATTATTGCATTTTTCTTCTCTTCCCACATCCAGATAGGTAAATGTGCATACACACATAATATGTATATTCATATTTGCCTATAAACGAGACATAAATTTAAATTAATTTCCATTGGCTATCATGAACAATATCTATTGCCTCGGATTCACTTGTTATCAAGAAGGATATCTTAAAAAAAAAAAAAAAAGAAGGATATTTTTATTGTCCTGGTAAATGCTGAAAGTTTAGAGTTTCTTAATGAGTTGCCACAGAAGACTTTTCAATTTTTGATTATAATACTTAGGAATCCTGTACTCAGTTATACTTTTTTTTCCCACTATCAGAGGGTATTTATGCTCACTAGGGAGAGCAAGAAAGCACTCCTCAGTGGGGTAGAAGTGTGATGTAATTCTTTTTTCTCCATTTGTCCTTTTTTTTTGGAGAGATTTTCACTATAGGGCGCATGCGCTTGCCAGACAGACAAGAGAGAGACATTAGAGACAGAAAGCGAGAAATCAACCCCCAGGGGGGATGGTCACACTGCAATCCCTTCTCCTCCATTTTTCTCTCGGGATCTTGGGCACACACGCACACGTGCCTGTCGTGAGTTTTAAGCCACCGGGTCCGGGACGTGAACCGCGGTCGACTACGTGAGAGTCCAGCGACATAGCCATTACACTAACTGCTGGTTCCTTCCATTTGTCCTTTTCATCGGGATTTTGTGCATGCACACACATATGCCTGGCGTATTTTGCAGGCCATGGGGCCAGTTCGAATTGCAGTTAGCCATGTGTGATTTGGCTTCCTGAACCTCTGAGTTGCAGGGCTGGCCCTGATCTATTGGTTTAACTTTGCTCACTTCTCATAGACTCCCCTTTACTTGGTGAATCATGGAGAAAACGGACCCGTCAGATGCAACAGATGCAAGGCCTACATGTGCCCGTTCATGCAGTTCATCGAAGGAGGAAGGAGGTACCAGTGTGGGTTTTGCAACTGTGTGAATGATGGTAAGTGGTGCCATTTACTGCTCTTTACTGGGCTTGGGAAACACCTGGGTTTGTTCTTACTTATTTCTTCTGAGAGAGAGCACAACAGAATTACAGAGGCAGGCATCCGAGTAGGGTTTTCATGCCACAATCTACCCCTAGCCTCAGCCAGTCCTAATCATAAATGTGTGCACCTGGCATGTACAGGGAGGCCCTGGGGCATGAACCCAAGACCTTCCCGTGTAAGTCCAGTCGCATTACTGCTGCACCACTGTCTGGTTCTCAGTTTATATATAGACATATATTTTTATATAATAATATAAATATATTTATATTACAAATAAATAATACATATTTATATAAAATTTTATATAATATATATT